CTCCGGCTGTCCCCGCAGAGCCCCTGGAACATCATGATCAAGCACCGGCAGGTGCAGCGGCGCGGGCGGCGCTCGCAGATGACCACCAGGTAAGTGCGGCCCCCATTGAGCCCAGGCCATGCCCCCGCTGCAGAGGAAGGCCACCCCCCCGTGCGGACCAGGTTGGGCAGGGGGAATCCCATCCTGCCCCCCTGGGTTTGGAGCGGGGGCAAGACCCTCCAGCCTGGCCCCTGCAGGGTTGGTGCCGGCAGGAGCTTTGGCACCGCCCGGCCCCACCTAAAGACTGAGGCTTGGCCCGCGGCTGGGTCGGCGCTGTCGGGCTGCTGGCTCACTCCTGCTGGAAGGGGAGAGTCCTGATGCTGTCCCCAGCCTCTAGCGCAGGGGTACACAACATTTTTGTGCCTCGTTTCCAAAATACCTGCAACCTCGACTTGTGAGATGTTGGCGGGCCAGGGCAGATGGCGTGGGAGCTGCGAGGGTACGATCCTTGTTGTAGCGGCATGGACCTGGCCCCTTCCCCACCCTCTGCCCAGAGGCACGCGTGCCAAGCAAAATGCCTTTGCGCGCCACACTCTGGTTCCCGTACCGGGGTTTCCCTATCCCTGCTCCAGCCCCTCGGGCACTGCTGACAAGTTGAGAAGGGAGCTGTATCGATCCCTTCTCTTAGCAGGCCGGGCTTTCGGAGCTGCTGGTAGCTCAGGTGCCAGGACAGAGAAGTAACAGGCTGCCAGTCTGGAGACTTGTTAGGTGCAGAGACCTCTATGCTCTTGTCAGAAACCATGGGACTAGAGGGCATTTGGTGCCCCAGCACGCTAGAGAAGAGATGGGGAAGTGGGGGTCAGTGTGGCAAAGCTTGCTGGTAGAGCTTCCCCTGCATTCAGCTTCACAGATCCCATGGTCTCCATGGACTTGCTGCGAGCTGTTCTACAACCGAGCATCAATGAGGAGATCCAGAACGTCTTCAACAAGTACATGAAGGTAAAAGCTCTTGAGGAGAGAGGGGCTTCCTCTGCCTCCAGCCTGTGAGGTTATGCCCTGTCCCTGTGAGCCACCAGCCTGTGGTCACATGTCGCTCTGTCCAGGCCCAAAGGGCAAATGCCCAAAGTGCTCCTGCCCCCTTCCAGAGGGTTTAGACACACATGGAGGGCATGTAACAGGAGTTCTGCGTGGGGTGAGGGAGGCTGGAGGTTGATTCTTGGAAGGGAACAGAACCGCCCCCTCCTTGGAGCATCCAGCAGAGTCTGAGTCCCAGGATGCAGGGCTGACCTGACCACAGGTGGCTGCAGGGCTGCTGGCTCCTGACTGTGCCTACCTGTGAGCTTGTGCTGAGGGCAGAGACCTGTGCAAGGAGACTGCCGGGGAGAGGGGCAATGCAACCAGCATCGCTCTCACCCTCCCGGGGGGTCCTTCTCCAGTTCTTCCAGAAAGCAGCGAGCAATGTGCGAGAGAACGTGGGGGAGGATGTGGACTCAGAGCAGCTGATCCAGGAGACATGTCGGAACTGCCTGGAACAGGTAGGCACATGCCGTTGCCGCAGGCTGCAGGGGCCCAGCCCCTGAATCACCAGGGAAGAGCCGGGTGAAGGCAACAACTGCTTGACCCTTTAGTCCCTGGAAGACACAGCAGTGTGAGCCAGGCCCCCCAGCTTCACTGCTTGAGATGTCCATGCCGACATGCGTGTGTATCCGTGTGAAGTAGTCACCACTTGTGTGGATCGGCCAGTAGGGGCACTTTTTGGAGCTGCAAGCACTTCTCTCCAACGCCTGCTCTATGCTGACTTAAGCTAGGGGAGGAGGGGAGCCAGGGCTGTGCAGCCAGCATGAGCTGCTTCTCTGGCTCCGCCTGGGCCAGCCTGACACACAGCCAGCAGTGCACAGGGATCCTCAGCAGAGCTTCCATCCCCAGGATGATCTGGGCCCAGCCATGACATGCCTAGCGGTGCACTGGCTGCATCTGGCTAGGTGGCTGTGACCTCTCATTTCAGGGCACTGACCCTGCACTACCCTCTGCTCCCAGATCAGACTAGTGCAACACAGTTCAAGTGGCTTTGCAATTGGGATGGAGGCTCAGACAAGCGGATGCAAATTGGAGGCTCGTGTTTTGCAGAGCGAGGGACACCCCTGAGGTTCTGGTGCCTATGCTGCCTGCCCACTTGTCTGCAGGGGAGCTTACAGAAGTGGTCATGACCTGTGCAGCCCCTCCCGGCCTGTGTCGGCTCTCTGTGCCAAGCAGCCATCCCAGTGGCCAGCAGAGGCATGTAGGCTGAATCCCCTTGTTGAAAGAGGAGGGGCTGCTGGCTGAGCCATCTCTGTGGGCTACTAGAGCTTCCTCTCCCTCCTTAATGGTCTGGAATTAGCCTGGATATGGGGACCACATGGGCACGTTACAAAAGCCCTCCTGGCAGGGTTCTGGAGCGGGTGCTATGTTCCCCAGAAAGGGGAAGTGGTGGGCAGGAGCCCTCTGTGTGGGAGGCCAGCCAGCCGAGTTCCCACCCGAAAGAGGATTTGGAGGCTACAGGGCAGGGGTGAGCATGGTTACGTGTGAGGAACTTGAAAGCCTTGGGGAGGGGGATTGTGTACTGTGGGACCTGAGATGCGGAGCTGTGAGCTGGCTTTTGGTTTGCTGAGAGAGGAAGTAACCCCTGTGGGGTCAGCTTTGCCTTCCCCCTGCGACAGCCCGTGCCCTGGGCAGCCCGTTCTGGCCTGTTCCGTCAGAACCCTCCCTGCCCTGAAAAACCTCTTACTTGTCTAAGGGAGGTGATTGGGCCCTGGGGTCAGAACCTGGGTGGGCAGCGTTTGTTACTCCAGGGAGCTACACCAAAGGCAGCTCCGAGCAAATCCCAGCAGTGACTGCAGCCCGTGGGGAAAGAATCTGTTCCACCTCCAGCCGTGTGCCCCCTTCTACCTCCGTCTGGGGGCCTAGAAGCAGAGCAGCCTCCAGTGGTGCCCATAACCCTTCCCTCTCTCCCCTAGGCCAAGCTGCTGTTTTCTGATGGCAAGAAGGTGATCCCCAGGTTGACCCACGAGCAGCCGGCACCCAAGGTGAACCCTGCTGTTCATCCCAAAAGGCTGAGCTTCCTCGGGTATCTGGGGCAGGACTGCTGCTGGATGGCCTTCTAGGGACTGTCCAGCAGGAGCTAGGCAAGGCCTATGGCCATTCTTACACACTGCTTTTGATGACTGAGGGAGACCCTGGGGTGTGGCAGAACAGGGGTGTCCCGGGCAGTGTGTCCTAGTCCTGCCACACGACTGCAGGGGAAAGTGTGGCATCACTGGGCTCTGTCCGCTCCCCTGTTGTGCCAATGAGGTGGGGGGCAGGTGGAAAGAGGGGGACGGGGAGGAGAGGACTTGCACATAGCAGCAGGTCCCAGGCCTGGTCATGGATTTGGGCAATCAGCATCCCATGTGCCCGTGTGGGGCAGCATCCAGATTTCTCCTTCCAACTTTGGTCTGGATGGCGGGGGAATGGGGATGGTGTAAAGGACTGTGTTCACCCATTGCTCACTTCTTTGCCAGCGTGCCCGGCAGGTGGAGGAGGAGTCCAGTCGGCGAGGAAGCCCCGTTCCCAAGAAGGTAAGAGGATTCCCCAGCAGTGCCGGCTCTGTTGCCCGTGTTCCCAGAGAGCCACTGGAACTGCACGTGGCTAAAGCAGCCTGCCCGGCAGGGAGCACACACCCAGGTGCATGATGGAGAGCTTCTCTCTTCCAGAGAAAGGGGCGGCCTCCTGGACAGAGCCTGTTGAACGACCGTGGGACCGCGGGCATGGCCACGTAAGTGTAGAGCTGAGTTGGGAGTGGAGAGCAGAGGCTGCCCTGGCACCCAAGGGCAGGGGGGGCATGAGCAGTCATCTTACACTCATCTGGTGTCCTTTGCCCAAGTGGCAGATGGGAGAGCGCTCCCAGCCAAGGCAGCTTGTCCCCCAAGGCAGTCCCTAGGGTTCTGTCCCACACGGGCTGCTTGGGCTGATTCCTCCGGGAGCTCATCCCTGCTCTGGCTTTTCCTCTGCAGGTGGAAGCTCAAATCCTCAGAGCTGCTGCGGCGCGACGGGCCAAAGGTAGGTGCCCATCCCTGTTGTGGCTGGGGCAGTGGTGCTTGGTGAAGTCTCGCTGCCTCTCCCGCTCTCAGCAGACGAGGCTGGAGTGATGTCCCTCCACTGTGGCTTGTTCTAGGCCGTGCTTTGCCCTGCTCTGCCCTTCAATGCATGGGACAAGGGAAGCCCTTGCCTGCCACCTGCCTACCCCAGAGCCTGTGCCTGCTCCCTGGCATAGCCTTGTGGCTCAGATGACATGGAAGCCTCCCGGCTGGGTGTACTGGACTCCAGGGCAACTTGCTGTGCCTGGAAGGCCCGAAAAGCTCCACTGCCTGTTTCACCGGCCAAACGGGAGACTTGTTTTCTCCTCCATGGAAACCTGAGCCTGCAGTGAGCTGTCCCCCTAGAGCAGGGGCCCACTGCAGACATGAGGGAAGGGGGTCGGAGGTTGCAGGGGGGCTGATCTGTGCCTGTTCAGACTCTAATGTGTCCCCTTTCCCTGTGGCTCTGCAGTGGGATCCTTCCCGGCTGACTGAGACCACGACTTTTGTGCTGGGATCTCGAGCAAACAAGTAAGGAACTGTCTCTGGGGCAGCGGCAGGGCAGTGCTGCCCTCGGGGGTGGGAGCCTGCGGGAATCCTCTCACCAGGTAAATTCCTCTGAGTGGAGGAGAGTGTGGGCTCAGGGCAGGGGGAGCCTGCGGGCACCCTCTGCGCAGGCCTAACCCTGCTGCTCATTCCTCTTTCAGAGCTCTGGGGATGGGAGGAACCAGAGGGCGGCTCTACATCAAACACCCGCACCTCTTCAAGGTCAGGAACCGCAGCGCCTTGCTTCCTTTGGGGCCTGCGCAGGGCTCTTGCAAGGGGGTGGGGAACACGCATGCTCTGCCTCTCCCATGCCTACGGGCTATGCCATCCTAGAGCACACGTTCCTCAGGGCAGGGGCTCTGGCAGGTAGCGGGCACTTCCTCAATGCAGGTAAATGCTGCTGGACTGCCATCCCTGCTGGGGCAGTGACTTCACCTGGAGCAGAGGCAGGATGGGGCCGTGCCCACGTGCTGGGAGACCCCTTCCTGGGACCCCTGTTGTGAGGGGCAGGCGTCACCCCTGACAGTGGCTGCACACAAGGCAGCTACCAGCACTCAGCTCGGGCCCGTGCTCTGTTACAGTACGCGGCCGACCCCGAGGACAAGCACTGGCTGGCGGAGCATCAGCACATGAGGGCCACCGGGGGCAAGATGGTGAGTTTAGCCAGCCCAGCTCCTGCCGCCTGCGGCCGCTGGGGAAGAAGAGACACTAGACGGGCAGAGAGCAAAGGTTCCTGCCGTGGGCCAGGCTGGGCCGTGGCCCCTTCAAAGCAGCGCCTAACAGGGCCTCGGGCAGCCACTGCCCAAGCCTGGGACTTCCCTGAGGGTGAGGGCGAGGGCGGGGGCGGGGGCGAGTGCCAGTGAGGTGGGTCCGCGCGATGCAGAATCTCTGCCCACGGCGGGCCTGGCTGCGCACGAAGCCTGGAGCCCCGGCTCTCTCCGCGTGAGAGCAGAGCCGCTCCTAACCCCTTGTCTTCCACTTGCCCCGCAGGCCTATCTCCTGCTGGAGGAGGATATTCGGGACCTGGCTGCCAGCAGCGATTACAGGTGAGGCAGGAGCCGCGGCTTCTCGTGAGCCAGAAGCTCCTTCCCTTCCTTGTACTTATTCTTTTAGACCCGGGTGGCGGGGGCGCTGTCGGGCCTGGGGTGCCAGGACCACGGGGGCTGGGGCAGGGTGGCAGGCGCTGGGCGCTCGCGGGGGGCGCCCGCCGAGCGCCCCCGCCGGGGGGGGGCCCCGGG